CTTATCATGTTGAATACCTAGTCGATTGGCAATTAAAACTTGCTTCCCTCAAGAAATGGAATAAAACATTTTTGCAGCCATGGGGGAAATAAAAAACAAAAAGGAACTAATGCCCAAGGACTAGGCAGATAAAGCGTGAGGTGCTGTAAACATCAAAATCATGTATTTCAGGATCCTGCAAAGCACAGGAATTCTTAACTGAGATAATGATTAGCATAGAATCATGGGAACACTGGTGGGATCTGCAAGAGAATAATTTTAGAATGTTATTGTTCTGTGCTGTTGAGTCTATTCCAACTCATAGCAAGTCTAATGATGGTGTAGAACTACCATAGGGTTTCTAGGCTGTAATCTTTACAGGGGCAAGTGGGTTCAAACCACTGACCCTTTGGTTAATGGTTGAGAGCTCCTAACCACTGCACCACCAGGGCACCTTTAGGTAGTTTGCACATAATAAGGATTTAATGCACAGCTGTTGGTTGAGATCATCTAGTTTAATTCCTTGTGAATTCAACTTGCTTTGAACCCCAGAGACTTGATCAAGAAAATAACTTTTGGAAATGCCAGTTTCATTCCAACAATCTAACTGTTTAAATGAAAGTGGTTCCACCTGCTGGCTGCTTTTTTGTTGAAAGCAATTCTGGGAAATGTAAACAAAATGCTTGCGCATCCTAATAACCCAAGCCTATCATTTATTTGCTTTGATTGAAACAAATGTGTCAATTTTCAGCCTTTGTTTGGTGAATCTAATGTTTGGATGTTGGCAAATGTTTGCATTACATGTTTGTTTGGAAACTGATGCTCTATTCAGAAACTCTGGAGGCACAGCCTTTGGAGCTACAGCCTGGGATCACTCAATGCATGTTCTGGATCATACACCCAAAGATGCTCAGCTCTCTCCCAGAATCTAGAAAGTGTTGAAATGCTGAACTCCCATGGGCAAGTGTAAGTGGAATGAAGCTATTGGATGTGGAAACTTTCCAAGAAGAAAGCGAGAGCGAGAGAGCTGCCATCATCCCCAGAATTGTCAGCATGTTTGATGTCATCGCTGCATTTATTGTGCAGTCTATCTCACCGAGGGTCTCCATTGCCCTCACTGGCCCCACTACTTTGCCAAACATGATGTCCTCCTCCATTGATTGGTCCCTTCTGATGACGTGTCCAAAACAAGGGAGTCCACAATGTTCTCTGGTGATCTATGAAGTTTTCATTGGCTGATTTTCAGTAAGTCTCTAGGCCTTTTTTCTAGTTTGTTTTACTCGGGAAACTCCACTGAAAATTGTCTACCAGCAACACACAAGCAACCACAGCGCAGCAAACTAACAGATGAGTGGTGGAAACCAGTTGCCATCAAGTCAGCTCCAACTCATGGAAACTGCATGTGTGTTAGAGTAGAACTGTGCTCCGTAGGGTGTTGGTTTTTTTTTTTTTTTTTTTAAATTGTGCTTTGGGTGAAAGTTTACAGAGCAAATGAGTTTTCCATTCAACAATTTATACACATTTTGTTTTGTACATTACTTTCAATTCCCTCAATGTAACAGCACTTCTTCTTACTTCCTCTCTGGGTCTCCCATATCCATTGGTCCTTTCCCTCCCCTTTCTGCCTTCTGCGCTTTGTTTTGGGGCAAATGCTGTCCTTTTGGTTTCCTGTAATTAATTGTTCTGAGGAATACATTCCTAAAGCATGTTATTTTTCACTGTATAGGACTGTCTATTGTTTGGCTGACAGGTGATCCCTGGGGGTGGGTTCAGTTCCAGCTTTGAAAGGTGTCTAAGGGCTACAGTCTTGGGAGCTCCACTAGCTTCTATCAGACCAGTAAGTCTGGTCTTTTTTTATGATGTTGGATTTTGTTTTATATTTTTCTCCCATTCTGTCGAGGACCGTCTGTGATCCCCATCTGAGCAGTTGGTAGTGGTAGCTGGACACCATCTAGTCCTTCTGGGCTCCATAGCATTTTCGGTGGCTGAATTTTCATTGGTAGATTGCTAGGTCTTTCTTCCAAGGTGCCCCTGATTGGGCTCCCAATTCCAACCTTTTAGTTAGCAGCTGAACTTTAACTTTTACACCACCCAGGGGGACTCCTCTGAGGACAGGACTCATGAATAATTATAATAGTGGCAAACATGTCTATAATGCTTACTATGTGCCAAGATATATGATATATTTATAACTCATTGAATTCTCATACCAGCTCTATGATGTAGCTGTCATTTTCATTCCCCTTACATAAGGAATAGAAGACACTGTGAGGTTAATAACTTACCTGACTTGACATCACCTAGCTGGTAAGTGATAGCGCTGAGATTTGGTCCTAGCAAGACTGGCTCCCTGTCTCCTTAGCCCCCTCTCAGATGAGCCCCTTCTGTCACTGATATTTGATCTAGGCACTGAGTTTGCCCACACTTTGTCTGATGGAACTGTTTTTGAAGTTCCAGTAATCTCTCTTGAAAGACTCAAACTAATAGTTGATGGATCTTTCCTTGAATAAAACAATAGCAGCAACAAACCCAAACACTAGCTTTGTACGATGTAGTTGCTAATATCTACCCCAGCTGTCCTGTAGGAGGGTCCAGAGGATGAAATGAAGATGACATGACAGGGCTTTGAAAAGGCCCAAAGCATTAAACTAATGTAATTTATTATTATTAGTCTGTACACCATTCTGATTCTTGCTCTTAAATGAGCAATCCTTAATGAGTTAGTGTAGGTGGCTTCCAGCTCCAGTGGTGTAGTGCCTAAGGCATTTGACTACTAACCAGAAGGTTGGTGGTTCCAACCCACCAGCCACTCCACTGAAGGAAGACTGGGCAATCTACTTTCGTAAAGATTTACTGTCTCAGAAACCCAAAGAGGCTCACTACGAGTCAGAATCAACTTGACAGCAGTGAGTTTACTTTGGGTTTTTTTAGGTGGCTTTCACGTCCTCATTTTTCCCAGAGCACATGGCCAAGTCACTCATCCTCTACTGTGGGTCTCTTGAGGGTGACCCAGACACTTGCGTTTGTTTGATTTCTCTTTTTTTGTCCCAGTATCTTGACGCTGTTTGGTTTGGTAGCAGCTCCTTTCTTCTTGTGCATAATGATAACTTCCCTGTGTCTCTTGACATTTTCTCATAGCAGTCTGCCTAGGAAGCCGACCAGTGCCTCCTTCTGTTTGAACTTAGGTTAAATTAATCATCTGACTTTCACATCAATCTGTTGCTATGGGGGTTACTGATGTCACAGTGTCAGTATTATGATTACCATACTAATAGGCAAAGAGGGATTGGTTGCTAGTGAAAACCCTTGGATGAGACTTGTCTAGCTTTAGTAACCAACCTGACTGCGTAGACTTCCAACCACCATGTGAAGGGGTGAGTGGATTAATCATCCAGTTGGATTCCATTTGAATATTTTTCTTCCATATGCGTGTTCCCTCTAGGCGATTGTCTAGTGTCACTTGAAATTGATGAGGGCTCTTTTGGAGGTTATTTTTGGGAAGCTGGTGAAACAACAGACAGCTGTTCTCAGGAACAAATGTCACAGGATCTGCCTAAGCTAGCTTCCAGTAAAGGAAAAAAATAGGCGGGTGGGGGGGGAGCAGGATTCTGAGGTGCTTTGCTCTTTTCGTTCTAGCATTAGATTGTTCCCTAGTGGCCAACCTAAAAAGTGCTAATAAAACAATAAAGGGTTAATTCAACTTCCTAAACACACGGGGCTCTGGTAGCGAGCATAGTGCCTAAAGCACTTGACTGCTAACCAGAAGACTGGTAGTTCAAACCCACACCAGCCACTCCTCGGAAGGAAGGTTGGGCAGTCTACTTCCATAGTGATACCGCCTTGGAAACCCTAGGAGGGGTCGCTATGAGTTGGGTCCAACTTGACGGCACATAACAACAACAACAACAACAAACACACAGAAGAGAAGGAAACTAACATTTACTAAGGAAGTGAGTCTCCTTAAAAGATGATAGCTTTAAAGCAGAGAACTGTTAAACCAGACCGCTGCTGAACAACCCTGTTATACATAACAATTCCTGACTTTTTCTAGCTTGCATACAATGCTCTTCCTAATTGGACATTGACTGATCACCAATAAAGGCAAAGGCATTACTTAAAATTGGTCTAAATCCTCCTATACTGAGTAATTATCTTGCAGTTGTTTTCACTGCAATATTAAAAAGCCTGGAAACATGATAGGAATGAGGTACAACAAATAAACTCCTAAATTCAAAATCTCCATTAAGAGGGTTGAGGGATGGGTCTGTCTTTCTCAGGGTTTTGTTAAGTAGGTGGAGGGGTCAATTTTGGGGGACAAAGGGATTAACTGAGTAAAACTGATTGTACTTAAGCCTATGCGGACTAGGAATACTGTATCAAGGTTTGCATAAATCTGTATAAAACAATTTGTGCACCAGAGCACAAATAGCCGACTTTTTCTTCAAATGCCAATTCAGCAATTACAAAGTCTGTTGGAGGTTAATTAAGAACTACCATCTCGTTATATTCAGAGTTAAATTACAAGTGTGAAAACTACTACTGTTTGCAATAACGGAAGACTCCGCACTCTCTGTACTCTCATCAAAAGGAGGGCAGGGATAAATAACTTTTATTTAACTCACTAAAAAATCTCTCTCAGCTCTTTCATATTTAATTAACTTCTTATCTGCTCAGAGCTTGAGTCTTACTCAGAGTTCCTGAGCAGTAAGGGAAATATTTGTTCATTTGTCCAATTGACTTCACTGAATGGAAATTAGAAATAATTGAACCCCAAGGACATGGGGAAAGTGACACCCATCCAAGGCTTTGCATGGACACAAATCATCTTGACAGGGATTTATGACAACAACAAAAGAGAGAATGGTGATTTTCCCTTCACTGCAAAAATCTGGGGAGATGGAATAAACACTTTTGTGGACTGATAAAGCTTTCGTATTTATTTGTAAAATTACCTGACCGAAAGTAATGTTTTAGCATTTCAGCAGTTCCACTGTCAGAAAAGAGGCCAAACTTCTAGCACCATGGTGGACGTGAAGTGTCTGAGTGACTGTGAATTACAGGGAGAACTTAAGAAGCTTGGATTTTCACCTGGTCCAATACTACGTATGTATCAAGTATTAGAGATGACTTGTTTCTTATCTATAAACCATCTTCAAAGATTGAAAACAACCCACAGTAGAAGGGACATAGACAATACAAACCATTGAAATAGAGATCAGAAAATACAGAAAGCCATAGAGAGGGAAGAAGAGGTAAATACACTCAAATCTATTTCTAGCTTAACAAGTATGGTACAAAGGTGCCCTCCCTGGTAGTGCCAATGGCTAAGCTAACTGCTGCCAATGGCTGCTAACTGGAAGATTGGCAGTTCAAACCCATCCAGCAGCTCCAGGTAGAAAGACTTGGTGATCTGCTCCCGTAAAGATTTGTTGTTGTTGTTGTTTGCCGTGGAGTCGGACCTGACTCATAGTGACCCCTCCTTGGGTTTCCAAGGCAGTATCACTACGGAAGTAGATTGCCCCATCTTCCTTCTGAGTAGTGGCTGGTGGGTTTGAACCGCCAGCCTCCTGGTTAGCAGTCAAAGATTACACCTGAGGAAATCCTCTGGGGCCAGTTCTACTCGTCACATGGGGTCACCAGAAGTAAAGAATTGGCTTGACAGCACAAGAAGAGTATGGAATTAGAAAGAAGGGATTGGTAAGAACCAGTTCTACTTTATTATATATGAACAAATTTGTTCATTTCTAGTGTGTGCACTATGTTTCCTATTTATTTATGAATTTATTAGAAGCTCTGTGAGGAGACAGCCTTGACCTCTTGTTCTCAAATGTATCCCATTGCCTGGCCTCACCCTAAGTGTTTGTGGAAGGAAAGGGATGAGTTGTGTAGTTGTGGGCACCCATTCATTTTGAAAACCAATAATGTAAGTTACAAGAAAAGAACCTGAGTTGTAAAATATCATGAGTCCAGTAAGACCACATACAAAAACAATGTAATCTATTCTCTGCATTCTTCCTCAGCTTCCACCAGAAAAGTATATGAAAATAAGCTAGTGCAATTGTTGGTCTCATCTCCCTGTGTTTCCCCCATGATGAATGGACTTGGAGAGCTGGATGAGCCTCAGGAAAGTGATAACAGTGAAGGTACCAACATAACCTGCACTGCTAGACAGCAACTCCAGGATCAGTAATATCCTGTCCTCTTAAAGTGGTATGCAGGGTGGCCCGTGAGATATCTGTGCGACCTGTTGTTTGTATAGAAAACCTAGAAAATAAGGTCCAGGGCTGCAAAAGGAATCTGTAATTCCATGTCTATATTCATGATATATTCTCAATTGGATGGAAAGTGTGTGTGTGAGAGGGACATAGAGGACTGGCCAGTTTGCATGTCATCTTACTGACCAGAGCCAAATCTGTGATTTCTCAAATCAGCAGTTCCTACAAGTAAACTTCAGGGACCCCTTTAAGGTCTTACACCTTTGCTTTGCCTGACTCAATAAGTTTGACCTTCATTTTCTTCAGATTAAATGATTTCATGCCCATTAAGAAAGGGGAAACCAGCCCTGGTGACACAATGGTTAAGTGCTTGGCTACTAACCAAAAGGTTGGCAGTTTGATCCCATCCAGTGGCTCCACAGGAGAAAGACTTGGAAATCTGTGCTCATGAAGATTATGGCCTAGAAAACTCTATGGGGCAGTTCTACTCTGTCACAGGGATTGTTATGAGTCGCAATCAGCTTGATGGCACCCAACAGGTACAAGAGAAGTGAACCAGCTTGTACCTCCCTGAACTCCTCCAATAGCCTACTGCCCTCCTGCCTGAACCAGAAGCTAACCATGGCTGGTCTCTCCCAGGTCCTAGAGTGGGTGGGGAGCAGTGGTCCCTGGGATCTCTGGGCTTTGCTGGAGTGGCCCCCGCCCCAGGTGTGCCATTTTCCCAAAGGGGCTCCTAGTATCAGAGGTCAGAGGGGGTGAATTTGAAGATTCCCACAATACATTTCAAGATTCTTTCATTCCACAAATATTTATTAGGAGTTCTCTACGAGCCCCAGCTAAATAACTACCATTTATCGAGGACCAACAACGTGTCAGGTGCTTCATGTGCATTACTGCATTTCACCCTAGCAACAACACTTAACTGAAATCCAGAGAGGCTGAGTGACTTGTCTGACATCATATAGCTAGGAAGCAACCCTAGAAAGTGCCAGGAAGAAGACAGGGCTCATCTGTCTTTGTCACCAATGTATGTCCAGCTCCTAGAATAATGTGAGGCACACAGCAGGAATTCAGAATATGTTTGTTGACGTGACAGAACCGATATCTGAACCCAGTCTGACTCTCAAAATTGTGCTCTTTCCACCACTTCCCCGACATTTTTCTCACAATTTCTATCAGAGTGAACACATTACATTTTTTACCATGTTTGATCTACAAAAACGGCAATTTCAGATAGTTTAAACTAACAGTTCAACAAACCATGCCAAGTGCCTGCAGTTATCTGAAAATTGCTCCATAATGCCTGGTATTAGAGGTAACACCAGTGCTAAGAGCTGCCTGCAAGGGTCTGGCACAGCTTGCTTCGTTTGGGAAGGGCAGTAAGATTTTGGGATGGACCCCACTGGTCCCTAAGCCTGGATAGTTAACGCGGGGTGCCTCAGGGCAAGTGGCTGCCCTTTCCTGGCTATGGAATGTATCCAGAGTCCTGTCTCCTACCTGACCTCTGTTTCCTGCCACAGAAGGAGCTCAAGGGCCTAAGCCAGCTCTCTGGTAAAAAGCAATGCCAGGCTTGAAAATTTCTGCTTTCCTGCTAGAAGGAAGGCTTGTCACTCCCTGCTCATGACTGCTCATGTTACAGGTCAAAATTGCATGGCCAGCATGTCATGGTCTCAGGTCAAGCTGTCCTAGTCCCACTCTGCAGTCCTCCACAGGGGTGGAGTTCTTTCTAGAGCTAGGAGAAAATTGGTCCTTCAGTTTGTAAATTTGTCCCCTGCTCTAAATTGTGTCTACCAGATGCCAGCAACTTCTGGCAATCAGGTCAGAAGAGGAAGCTCTGATTCGGTCCAGCCCTTGTAATATGAGTCTATGTTATCAATGGCCTGTGATTGGTGCAATCTGAAAACCTAGTTCTTCAGGTCAAGTCTGAACCAGACATTTGAATTTGCTCATTGGAAGAATCTGCAACTCCATGTCTGTATTGAGCCTGGAGGCTCAATTGGATAAAAGTGGGGGAGATCAATTAGTTCATGGCCAGAGAATCTGGTATCATTAGAATGGAGAGCTGGGTCTTTTGGGGAAAGGAGAGGGAGTTCCAAGCCTATGGTTGAGCATTAGGTAGACCAAACAATCAGTGGATTAGATTTTGTTTTTGTTTTTAAATTCCACTCATTGTTTTGGCTGTGGGTGGGCATAGCTTTAGTTATCTAACCTCCTTTCAAACTTCCCAAATACATTTGATTTGAAAAGCATAGTTAGAATCGTCTCCATCCAAAGCTCTGCATTGAGAGCTTCCCTTAAGGGTGATGGAAAAATTTGGGAACAGATAAGGTTGATAGTTGAACAACGGGATGAACATAATTACTATCACTAACCTCTACATCCTCGGAAGGAAGGTTGGGCAATCCTACTTCCGTAGTGATACTGCTTCAGAAACCCAAGGAGGGGTCGCTATGAGTCGGGGCCGACTCGACGACAAATAACAACAACAACAACAACAACCTCTACATGGGAGCTCTGGTAGCATAGTGCCTAAGGCACTTGACTGCTAACCAGAAGGCTGGAGGTTCAAACCCACCAGTCACTCCTGGGAAGAAAGGTTGGGCAATCTACTTCCATAGTGATACCGCCTCAGAAACCCAAGGAGGGGTCACTATGAGTCGAATCCGACTCAAGGGCACATAACAACAACAACAACACAACAACCTCTACATAGGTCCCTGGATGGTGCAAATAGTGTGTGCTCGACTACTAACCCAAAGGTTGGTGGTTTGAACTCACCCAGTGGCAGCACAGAAGAAAGGCCTGGCAATCTGCTTCTATAAAGATTACAACCAAGAAAACCCTATGGGGCAGTTCTACTCTGTTACACATGCGGTTAGCACTGGAATCTATTCACTAGCAACAGGTTAAACTGTTAAGCTGTACATGTGAAGACAGTAGAAATGACTAATGTTTTACTACATTCATATTTATCACACACACAAAAAAAATTCTGTAGAAGGTGGACTAGCACATAATTCCTCTCATGGCCAAGTTTATTAGAATGCTTCTCCACAGCTGAGACTGAGGGTTGGTTAATAACAACCTTTTCTGTCCTTGGAAGTCCCCCTGGTTTTAAAGTTGTTTGTGCAGGTCTGGCACTCTCATCTCTGGGTGCTTTTTTTTGTGTATAAAACCCTAATGCCCATTGCCGAAAATCCTCCTGCCCCATCTTTATATTCATGTATGCTCGTGGCTTACAGCTGTTTCAAAGGGATGATGACTGCAAACAGCCACCCAGATGAGCAGGCGGCTCAGGCAGACAATGTGCTTCTCTCCAAGGCATACAAATATGACAGTCGGCCTGAGAGGAGAGGCTCTCGGTACTCCCAGGGGAGGGCCTAAGAGCATTTCAGAAAGGCCAGTGCAGCTTAGGAGAAATGCTCTTTTCCCTCAGAAGGGCAAAGTGAATTTCTTTCTGTCACAAAAACCTTCTGCCCTGTAAGTAGGAGAAGTCACCCCAATGATTGGTGCTTATTCCCTTTGCTAGCTCCAATGTTCTCATGGCCTATTTTCTTTTTGTTTCCCATCATTCAGAGTTTAATACCACTATCGTTTTGAAAGGAAATATCACACTCTCAACAGAAAAAGGCAAGGGACCCAGGAAAGTATGTACAACCCTAATATGTGAATACTTTACACATAAACTAAAAATAGGAAATAGCACTTGTCACATAGATTAAGAAAGAGCGAGTCACCACATTAAGTTATGGTGGTAAAACGCTAGTTCAAAGAAGATTGTTTCAATGCAAGATTCCATTTTGTGACTATTTCCATGTTCTGGCAGAGGACCTAGGATAATAGGGTCACTCCCACTCCTCCCTGAGCCACCTGCTTTCACCTCCAACTGTCATCTTCTTCCTTTCCCTGCCCTAATCTACATTCACATACATTGTTCTAGGGCATGGCAAGCATGGAATGAATGTGAGTCATGTCCTCTTCTCTTTCCCAGACACTCTGAGATCTGGCTTCCAACCCACATCCCCCCACCCTCACCCCATGGCCAAGTGTGTGAAGGTAACAGGCTTTGGGGTGAGGCCTAGATGGCTAAGAGTCCCTGCCCTACCACTTACTAGTTGTGTGACCTTGAGGAAGTTACTTAACTGTTTCTAGACCACCTTGTGCAGTTAAATAGCAATTCCTATTCCCTGGGTTGTGCAAATGGTTAAGCTCTTGACTACTAGCGGAAAGGTTAGGGATTTGAACCCATCAAGAAGTGCCTCGGAAGACAGCCCTTGTCATCTGCTACTGAAAGGTCACAGCTTTGAAACACTCATGGAGCAATTGCACTCTGCACACACACAGTCACCAGGAGTTAGAATCAACTCCACACCAAATAACAACCAATAGTGTGAGTGTGAGTGTGAGTGTGAGTGAAGGGCAGGTGAAACTCGTAGAGCAGAGAACGTGACGTGATGAGCACTCAATAATGACCTCTAGTACACCACCAGCTGTAGTGACTTTTTCTCAGTCTACCGATCACTGTCCCTCTCTTTGCCACACCTGCCTCTTTAGAGTTCAGCAACGCTGTGCTCTCTTGGTTCTTGATTCTATACCTCTAACTATTTCCATTCTGCTTCTTTGTCTTTCTCTTTGCCCCTTAATGTACCTTGAGCCTGTTTTTTCTGTCTTCAGTTCCCTTCTCTTCCTGCTCTGTATCATACCCTTGGTGGTCTCATTCACATACAACTTCTATGTCTCTATTCTGCATATAAAATACCTCAAGGCAAAGGCCTGCAGATCCAACTACCTTCCAGAAAGAAAAAAAAAAAAAAAAACCCACCAAACTCATTACCATCAAGTCATTCTGATTCATAGGGACCCCCTTTGGATTTCCAAGGTGGTGAATCTTCACGGAAGTACATTATCCAGTCTTCGTTCTGTGGAGTGGCTGGTGGGCTTGCACCACCAACCTTCTGACTAGCAGTGAAAAGCCCTAGGTAGGCACTGAGCCACCAGAGCTCCTTTCCAGAAAGAAAGCTTCTTCCTTTTACTTCTCTTTCCTTTTTTCCTTCCCTCTTTCCTGCATTTATCCAGCAAAAGTTTATCTATAGATGTGGACATTTCGTTTCATAGATTATATAAATGTATTTACACTTCTACCCCTGGGTCTCAACTGAGAGTATCCAGGACTAAGCTCATGACCATTCACCCCAAACCTGCATTTGTGGCCTCTGTTTCTCTGGATGGTTTTACCACCACCCCACTGTCTAGGCTCAAATCCTCAGAGCTTTCTTGGAATGTCCACTTCCCACAGCTACTCATATACAATCAGTTGCCAAGTCCTATGGATTTGATTATGAATTTAAAAAAAAAAAAAATCTATCCTTCCTCTCTCTTCCCACTGCTGCTATTCTAGCTTGCAACCATATGACTTTTTTTCCTTTGGAAATATTGCAGAATTCTCCAAATTGGCCTCTATCTCCAATCTTTCCCAATTCCAGTTCAGATCTACAGTCAGGAATTTAATCATGTCATTCAGTTGCCACAGGGACCTTCAATGGGCTCTACCTGCATATAAAACAAGGTGCAAAATTAAATACAACATGAAGATATTCTATGATCTCTTATAACCTTATCTCCCACATCAGCCAACCCATCCCAATACTCACCTTATTTCTATGCCTCTCATACTTTCTTCCCCAAGTGCCTTTACCCCAACTGTTCTGTATGTCTGGAATTCTTGTCACTCTTCCCCCTCCTGCCCACCCAGAGGCACCTCAGAAGAAAAGCCTGGCAATCGGCTCTGGAAAAATCACAGTCATTGAAAACCCAAGAACCTCAGTTCTACTATTACAGTTCTACTATTAATTAATTATTAATTACTATTACTATTACACACATGGGGATGTTGGAACTGTCGCAACAATTCATTTTTGTTGTGGTGGTGGTTGTTTTACTCCATGCCCAATTTTTCTTCCTGTTAAATTCCTGCAATCTTCTAAGGAATGTCTTAAATATCACTTTTGGAAACCCTTTCAGTTGCTGCCATAGCTTCTTGCACATAGTAGGAGCCCAAACCTCACCTCACCAAATCTACCAGACAACTCCAGGGATGGGATTAGTATTCAGATAGGATCTATTATTTAAACTACTTGCTTAGTTTAAATAAACGAAAAAGAAAACCCCAAGTAAACACTGCTGTAGTACGTTTGCAACTTTAGCTTCTCATTCAAACATGAATCAAATTCGATGAAGTATTTCTGATATCATATCAAGTTTTCTAAAAGGTCTTTTAAAAGTAATCCAAATGGCTCATCAAAGGAATTCTTGCCATTCAGTAAACCTAGGTTCCACAGAAAACCTTTTTGTATAGTCCCTACAAAGACATTTACAATCAAAAAGCAACCAGAGTGTTTAAAAATGCATCAGGGGGACTGTTGTTGTTGTGTGCCATCGAATCGGCCCCAACTCATAGCGACCCCTCCATGGGTTTCCGAGGCAGTATCACTATGGAAGTAGGATTGCCCAACCTTCCTTCCGAGGAGTGGCTGGTGGGTTTGAACCGCCAGCCTTCTGGTTAGCAGTCAAGTGCCTTAGCCACTATGCTACTAGTGCCCTTTAATCTTTGTTCCACATAAACCTGATATAAAACCACATCAATCTTTTGAATTAGCAATAGAATTAAATAGAAAGTTTGCAAGGGCATAAAATGTTTTGAACAGAAGGACTTATAGAAACCATTTTGATTCTCAGAAGGCCTTGAGACATCTGTTTGACTTTAAATTCTAAAGTAAATGTAAATAAATGTTTAAATTTCCATGTAGAAAGTGTGTTTATTGAAACACTTATCTAATACTATCGACTTAATTACTTAAAAGCAGTGCTCTGTACCTAACAATTGTCTAAGTACCTAGAAAGGTGGGATTTTGTCAATAAAATCCACATTAAGATTTGGATTATGTCAGTTTATGGACAATTTTTAATGCTATATGAGTATATTTCATCAAATCACATTTGCAGCCAATTGGACTTGGTCATTAAGGCCACTCTAAATGCCAAGACATTTTTTTTTAAGTTGGGGAATTTTTTTCTTTCTTTTTTAAATCAAAGACATGCTAGATACAACTTATGCTTCTACTGTTGGAGTGGAAAGTTAAGACAATGTGTCTACTTTGGTCTCTGAAAGAGCCCCAGTGGTGTAGTAGTTTGAGTGCTTGTCAAAAGGCTGGTGGTTAGAATCCACCCAGTGGCTTCACAGATGATAGCCAAGAAAACCTTATGGGGCAGATCTACTGTATCACACATAGGGTCGCTATGAGTCGGAATCTACTCCATGACACCCAACAACAACATTCCTACCCACAGCATGTAGTGAATGCTCATTAAATATTGAATGATTTTAACAGTCATACATAGGTGGCAATAATGCTCACATGAAATCTTCCTGCTAATTTAGGGTCTAAGTCCTTTTCTTCCAAAGAGGGAAAATGGGCTTTGGGCTTAGTAGAGAGGCAGAATGATCTACAATGTCAATTTGCATAAAGTGGGATTTGGATAGAGTGATAGTGTTTTATCCAAAACAGAATGCTTCTTGAGAGTGACAGAGGGCACTAACCAAAAGGGATGCTGAAACAGCAGGAGTAAACTGGGAAGGTGCTGAGTAACCGAGGCATATGGTCACCCTGGGTCTGGGAGTAGTCTCAAGTGTTGAAATGCACGCCTCCTCTTGGGAGGGCTGCTACATCCAACACCAGAGGCTAGCTGGCCCTGGGAGGTAAGTGCTCCTGAGGGTTCTTGACCCCATGAGGGCGTTTCCTTTTTCTCTCCCAGACACAGAATGATCTTTCCTGCCAGAATCTCAGTCCCTTCTGTTCTCCCAGTCTGGAACACCCTCTTCTCATTTTGCTATCTACACTATAAAATCTATTCCACTAGCAGTTTCTCTATTTCCCCGTAGGTCTGGGCCTAGGAATCTCCTATTTTCTACCAGCCTCTACCTTTTGTCCAAAAGCTATCACTCAAACTCACTGCCACTGAGTGGGTTCCAACTCATAGTGACCTCCATTGGGTTTCCGAGGCTGTAAATCTTTATGGAAGTAGATTGCTCCATCTTCCTTCTGCGGAGCGGCTGGTGGGTTTGAACCACTGACCTTCTGGCTGGCAGCCAAATGCCTTTTCCTCTATGCCACTAGATAGGCTGTAAAATTTTGAGGGTAAAAACCCATGTCTTTGAATGCCCTGCACATAATTCAATGCCAGGCATGAGGCAGGGTAGTTGCTACCCAGTCCCTGTTGGCTGAACTAAGAGGAGCCTTTGTCCCATATTGATGGTCTCCCTTTCTCTGATTTCCTATGCTGCACCATATATTTTGTCTCTTAGACATACGTTGATGCATTTTCTTGAGAGAAAATGCTTAGGTCATCATGAATTGATGACCATGCAGTGAACGGTTGCAACAGAGCTTCTACCCCTGGGTCTCAGCCTCCCAGTTAACAACTGTTTATCAAATATAGGACATTGTGCTAGACTTTCTTGAGGAAGAAGATAAATGCAGAAGGAGTCATAGTTCCTTTTCTGAAAAAAACTTAAAAACTAGCTCTGGGAAGAAAGACTATGTATATAAAATGTGTGGACTCTAGAGCCAGACTGCCTGGGTTCAAATGC